GCTGTGTGCATTCTTCTTCCCTTTGCCACATCATATCTCTGTGAGATGGGCTTTTCAGCTGCTGCTTCAATGAAAACAAAATATAGATCTCAGCTGAACATTGAGCATGACTTGAGAGTGGCAGTATCAAGCCTGCAACCCCGTTTTGAGAAACTGCAATGCAAAACAGGCTCATTGCAGCCACTAATGCAGGGATAAATAGACCTGTCTTGCCAGATGGATTTCACTTCTTTTCTTTTATTAACAGATTGCAGAGTGGCACTTTAATTTTTTCTATCTTTGAGCTTGATACAAATTTTGACACAGCTGCATTTTTATTTTCTTTATTTTTGAGCTTGCTGTTATTTGATGTAGATTTGTATTTAGATACTACTTGTTACTTCAATAAAATTGGAACATTTTAAGATTGTTGAATATTTCATTAGCATTGTGTTGGGGCGATGGGGACAGGCGGGGCTTGAAAATTCCCCCTTGTCCAAAGTGGGGAATGACAGAAAAAGTTTGAGAACCACTGCTTTAACTCAACATTTTCTTGCTCATGGTTTTTCATGTCGTTATAAAAACTTGTTGTGTTTACACTGCATTTAACTGGCTTTTTACAAACCATGAAACCATGTTCTTATTAACGGTATTTTCCCCTTCGATGGTCTCTCTCTCTCTCCGGCGTCTAAGGAGCAGCAGCACGGCTGTTTGTGTGTCGAGTGGAGAGAGAGCTGAGTGGGTGGGCCAGACTGAGCCTGTGTGCTGAGCCGGTGATGAGAGGAAAGGGGGGGAGCAGCAAAGTGCTGTGACACAGACAGGGAGACTGGTTAATCTGTTGCAGTTAATTGGCTAATCCCAGGCCAGCGCTTGGGGAATACTCCTGGTTCTCCCTATGGCCAGTCCGGGTAGGGCCCTGATAGTCATGATATGGGGCGAAATTTTCTGCTTGCTGGGTTTGCGCTCTCTGAGTGCTTTTCTAGTTATTATTTGGAACAGAATGTTTAGGGGCTGTTGCTTTTGGAATGTGTTTTTAAATATCTCTAGACATGTTTTGACAGACTGAACTGGAGCAGCTTGTTTGGAGAGGCTGAAAGAGTAAGCTCTTTTACAAGTTAATGCATATGCTGTCATGATCTGCTGATTAGGATTTTTGGTTCTGTTCCAAATGACACTTTGAGTTTTCAGTTACACTTAGATTTATGACGTTCTGCATTGTCTAAGTCAGTGGTCCCTAACCTTTTTTGCACCACGGACCACTATATGTCAGACAATATTTTCACGGACCGGCCGGGGGGGTAAATACGATCAAGTAAAATGATATGACTGGCATAAAATCAAATACAAACAGCATACAAATAAAACTCACCATTATGTTGAATTAGTGGGAGCCCTAAGCTTGTTTCTCCGAAACAAGCCGCTCCCATCTAGGCGTAATCAGAGTGTGCTCCTTATGTCCAGTCTACTCCATAGCTTTGTTTTGGTCGCTGTAACCGCAGAAAATCCTGCTTCACAAAGATAGGATGTTATAGATAGGATGGGTCTTGACCTGAATTAACCTGTGTCAAGAGGCACAGATGCACCGACTGATGTAATTGGGGGAGAATACCACAATTTTTTATATTTTTCAAAATAAAACATCACTCAGACTCTGATCGTCGATAAATTATATATCTATATATATATACTTTTTTCTGTGCGGCCCGGTACCAAATGACCGACGGGCCGTTACCGGTCCGCAGCCTGGTGGTTGGGGACCGCTGGTCTAAGTCATTAGTTTCATATCCATTCAGTGACATCTAAGTTCTTTTCTAGTGATATACAAGCACTCTTTCCTTGTGCCAGTCTCCTTTCCCTAGCTAATAAGCTCATTCTTTGCTCTATTTCCCATATATACACCTCCTGTGCAGTTCCTCATTGCTGGATTGTTTTCATTCCTTTTTTTCTTCTTTTTTTATCTCTGAGTTCCCTGTCAGTTGTTTCTGGATTATTGCTTTTGTACAATTTACCTCTTCATTAAACCTACAAGAAATCCTCTCTGCCTCTTTAGCTCTGGATTTGGGTCCTTTACAACTACTCAGATATTAACATGTACCAATATAAAGAAGGCCGTGATTGCTCATCTTAACAAAGACTAAACTGTCTAAAGGAAAACAGTTATTTGGAAAATGTAGAAATTGGAGACAACAAACAGTATATCTGCATAAAGGCCTAATTCCATCTGTCAAATTGAGATGGCCAAATGAAGCCTCATGAAGCAATGAAGCCTTCCCTCCCAAGGCTTTGCCTAAAGGTTCATTACTTGATGCTTCATCCAATGCTCACTATTGAGCAGCACATACACTACAGCCCTCATATTTCAAAAATTAGAAAAAAATTATGAGTGCAATATTGTCAAATAAAGTTTTTTTTTTTATAAAACATGTGTCATTACTTTTAAGTTATCAAAATTATTTATACCGAAAATAACCCTTCCAATATGTTGACTTTCGGTTTTGGAATGTATTTTGGAATGCCAGCATTCGTAACATGTAGGTGAATCACTGTTCCCCAGTATGACGTCATTGATTCGCCTACATGTGATGAATGCTGGCGTACCATAAAGAACAAATTATGAGTAGTTTAGTTTGTGCCTTTAAATCGTTGCCCATAGGAAGACGTTACTTGGATATAACCTAACAGAATATCTTCAGAACGGCTCCAAATGACACAAAACTCATATGGGTGAGTAGAACATGATGTAATAACGTAAAATCAAAGGCAATATGTAAAAAAAACAGCATTCCCCTTTAAGGTTTTGCATCCACTCATCAGGGCCAGATTATTCTTTTCTCTCTAGTCAGTGGTGAGAGTGTTTGTTGGGTACCTTGGAGTTTCTCATTTCCTGACCTGTTTTGGCTCTCAACCTCCTCTCAACCTAAGCCTGCCTGCTCTGATCTTGTTCCCTGACTTGCAATTAAACCCGGGCCACAGCAGGGAGAGCGCTGACTGGACCATCAAGGAGATGGTCTAGTGCCCATATGTCAAAGTCAAGGCCAGAATTGTTTATCCATGGCCCCCTGGATGATATTTAATTACCATTAGAACCGGCCCACAGGCCATGGCCTCTTGTGTGCTCTGCTGTGACTGCGGCTACCGTTGCATTGTGGGGAGTGTAGCGTTGGTGTGGTTGTGTTGCACACACCAACACTAAATTCCCAGGGGAAAAAATGATTGTATTTTTCTTATATTTTAATTTTTTTGCTGTGCTTTGCATGTTTGGATTGTTTTGGTTTTTGCTTTTTCCCCCTTTAACAATCCAAGCTGGGCTGAAGTCGGTTGTCTAAGGAGGCGGACTGCACTAACTGCACTTTGCTTGGATTGTTAAAGGGGGCAATCAAAAACCAATATCCAAACATAATTTATTATGCATGCACTTTAATTTATGTATTTTGTAATTTTGTTAATAATATAAATCTTAATATTTTGTTTAAAAAAAAAATGTGTTTGATGTTGGTTCAATAGGCTATGATCATTTCAATATGTTTTGATAAACATTTAACCAGTCCGGCCCTCGGCTTGTAGCAAATTAGTTTTTTTTGGCCCTCTGTGTATTTGACTTTGACATCCCTGGTCTAGTGGTTGTCTCTACTGCAACGCCTCTGTCAGTGACGACTGTCTCCTCTCTCGTTACTTTAACTCAACGTTTTCTTGCTCAAGGTTTTTCATGACCTTATAAAAACTTGTTGTGTTTACACTGCATTTAACTGGCTTTTTACAAACCATGAAACCATGTTCTTATTAACGGTATTTTCCCCTTCAATGGTCTCTCTCTCTCTCCGGCGTCTAAGGAGCAGCAGCACGGCTGTTTGTGTGTCGAGTGGAGAGAGAGCTGAGTGGGTGGGCCAGACTGAGCCTGTGTGCTGAGCAGGTGATGAGAGGAAAGGGGTTGAGCAGCAAAGTGCTGTGACACAGACAGGGAGACTGGTTAATCTGTTGCATTTAATTGGCTAATCCCAGGCCAGCGCTTGGGGAATACTCCTGGTTCTCCCTATGGCCAGTCCGGGTAGGGCCCTGATAGTCATGATATGGGGCGAAATTTGCTGCTTGCTGGGTTTGCGCTCTCTGAGTGCTTTTGTAGTTATTATTTGGAACAGAACCAAAAATCCTAATCAGCAGATCATGACATTATATGCTTTAACTTGTAAAAGAGCTTACTGTTTCAGCCTCTCCAAACAAGCTGCTCCAGTTCAGTCTGTCAAAACATGTCTAGAGATATTTAAAAACACATTCCAAAAGCAACAGCCCCTAAACATTCTGTCAGATAATAATCTCTCCCACACGCATTAACTGTAACAGATTAACCAGGCTCCCTGTCTGTGTCACAGCACTTTGCTGCTCCCCCCCTTTCCTCTCATCACCTGCTCAGCACACAGGCTCAGGCCCCGTCCACACGAAGACGAACCCTGGCCTAAACGCACAAATTTTTCACCAAACCAGCCTCTCATCCACACGAAGCCGGCGTTTCGGGGGTCTGTAAACGATCTTTTTTTTATTCAGCCTTCAGAGTGGGAAGATTTTGAAACGCCGTTTTCGCGTTTCCATCTTTACGCTCTAACCGCATTTTTTTTTTACACGCATGCGTCATAGCGTCGCCTCTAAATACGCGTGCGCGACACAGTATCACAACAACAATGGCGCCGTTGCTGCTAATGCTACTCACCCTGCTGTCGGGCTTACAACAGAATCTTCTTCTTCTGGAATATCTCCAGGAAGAACAGAGCAATATCGACGACATAGTTCAGCACCTCAATTTGACTTAACCACGAAAATGGACCCGCAGGGCAACCATGTATAAATATTAGTGCGCATGCCCAACATTTCGTCGCTTATTTTTGCTTTGGCACCACAGCGCCACTTACAGGCCTGGCATACATTTTGCAGCGTTTTCATGCATTCGTGTGGACGCTCACATTTATTTTACGTCTCCGTCTTTACGGCAAACGTTTTGGAAAATATCAGCGTTTCGTGTTCGTTTTGACTTCGTGTGGATGGGGCCTCAGTCTGGCCCACCCACTCAGCTCTCTCTCCACTCGACACAGAAACAGCCGTGCTGCTGCTCCTTAAACGCCGGAGAGAGAGAGAGACCATCGAAGGGGAAAATACCATTAATAAGAACATGGTTTCATGGTTTGTAAAAAGCCAGTTAAATGCAGTGTAAACACAACAAGTTTTTATAAGGTCATGAAAAACCATGAGCAAGAAAACGTTGAGTTACAGTAATGAGAGAGGAGATGAAACATGGCTCATTACCCACCTTCGACCCTCAGACAGACGTCACTGTCAGAGGCGTTGCAGACCTCCAGAAAATATCCAGGTAGATAAGAGTGATGCCCTTCATATTAACTTTAAAAGTAGTTATTATATGTCATGTTTTCATACCATGAGTTTCCCCCTCAGTCAAAATTACTATTACTGTTTTACTTTACCTTTTAAGTTAAGCATTTAATTTTTTATAAATGTATGCTTTCCATCTCAAAGAAAAAAAACGTAAATATGTTGCCTGGAAGTTAGTAAGGAATCGATATTAATATAAAATAAAATTCTATTATAAACCTATATTTATAAAACTGGAGCTTCTCTGAGTAACTCCCTTATAATCACATTTAAACTTGATTGATTGGAAACAAAAAGGAAATTATAGTCAGACCATCTTAATTAGTTTGACTTTCTTTTCCTCAAGACACCTGAGCTGCTTTGATAAGCTCTGATAGCTGTGTGAAAACAGCAGATACCAGGCTTTTCTCTACATCCAGTTTGTTCCTCTGCTTGGTTTGGGTGTGGGTCACAGCTGAAGCTGAACTCAAACATGTAAGAAAAACTGACTTTTTGATAAAACCTTTTTTGCATTTTCCAGTTGAGTACTCAGAAAACAAAACAGATCCCAGCCCTATTTTATTTTGCTCTTTGTCTCTTAGGTAATCTCCCAGTCCCGCCCTGCTTACAGCTATAGCTGACTTTGAGCGAGGCATGACTCACCTTTCCTGTGTTTATGTGAACAAAATAATACTTCCGAACCTTTTTGAGTCTGATGCTAAAACTCTCAATAGTCACTGACATTGACAGCTTTAGTACTAGTACTTAAACTAGTACTCTGGTTTAGGGGGGAACTACTTGTTCCACCAAATATTGTTAAGAAATTGTTTTTAACAATTCCTGCATCAGGATTAAGGTGCAGATCATCACCAAAATGTAACAGATTTTTCCTTGGACTGAGCTGCACCTTTGGTAAAAAAAAAAAATAATTAAAATCCATTCATAACTTTTCAAGTTATCCTGTACATGGGCAGACAGACAGAAAAATATACAAATTCAATCAAAAATATAAGCTCCTCAGGGTAATTATTAAACTAGCCACCTGCACGCTGAAAGAAGCAGCTTGAGGTGAAAAATATCTGAGCAGTTTCCATACATCCATGTGGCGCTTAAGTGTCTGGTTTGCATCAGGTCTATTTTAGTCAGACTACGCAATGATTCAGCAGAAATTAACAGATTTTATTTTGTATTTTCCACCAAAGCGGATACGTTTTACTTTTTAGCCAGGTCTCTCCTCCTGTCAGACCCATAAAATTGCAGCTGAATTGCTCCGTAGTCCAACTAAAACAGACCCGGAGTCTCTCAGTCGGACCTACCAAGCCCCCTTTTGTAAAAACGTGTCGGGTGTGATCATCCATGCAGTGGTTTTGCTATGTCGGACTTTGATTCAGATTACCCCGTTTCAACCCACCTCCATCCCCTTCTCCACCATCATAGTCAAGCTTCGTCAGAGTTTCATTCCTCCCGGACTCTTACTGCATTCCCTCTCATTTTAATCGGTCTGGCAGAAGACCGCCATTTTGAGCCTGGTTTTGCCAGAGGTTTCTTCCCAATGGGGAGTTTTTCCTTTCCACTGTCGCTTCATGCTTGCTCATCATGGACAGGTTCTCTCAAGCTTTGTTATCCAAGCTAGACTTTCATCTTTCAGGTCCCTGATTGAAGCTCTAGTATCAGCTTACTCAGTCCACTGGATCTCCCCATAAAGCTCAGCATACCGTCTCTCTACCCAACAGTCTACAGACTGACCAACTTCATCTATCTCCACTCCACTACCAGTTTCAGACCTGAGGGGGAAACATCCCTATTCTTTACACCTGTTCATGCATATCAAACAAAATTCAGCGCTATGTTTCCTGCCAAGGTCTGAGCGCCAAAAGCTAAAGTTATTGTATTAATATAACTCTACATTCGCCTTTTTCTTTTCGTGTGATTGTTAGATGGAAATCCAATCACTGTAAACATGAAAGAAAAATAATAAATAAAAATAGTGTGTCCCGACAGTGGCCCAGCTACACACTTCTCCTTTTACTGACAAATGGAGGTTTGAGAAGATGGAGCAAACACACACAAATCAGAGAAAGCTCTAGTGATGGTGGAATGAAGCCTCATGAGGCACTGAATTATTTGGGCTAATCGCTTCTACAATCTCCACGGTTCATGCAGCTTCATGTGAACATGTCACCACCTACTGATGAAGTGCATAACTACAGTTAGCCATATAATCTGTGATTCCCCCCCCCCCCCCCCCCCCCCCATTTAAGATCCTTTGAAATTTTTAATAATTTGTGTGTATAATAAAATCTTTTGTAAGTTTTTCTCTATGTAAAATGTTAATCACTTTAGGTACACTGTTTTTCTGCCATTTTATTGAAATTAGCTTAAGCAGACAGTGAAATTGTGCAAATTGGGCAATGATGAGCAAAATGAAAGGTGTTAGTAATTTTTATTCAATAATAATAGTTTTCTAGAGTTTTGGTTTTAATCGGGTTGGAAGTTATGGGTTTAACCCATAACTTTATTTACAGAAGATGTCAGAGGCAATTTGGGCATTAATCAGGCTGCCGGCAGCGGTTGACGGCCTCACAAAGGCTGTGAACGAGCAGCCGTATGCTGGGTCCGATTGAACGCAGGCTGGCTGCGGTGGTTGAACTCAAAGGTAAGATGGGATAACATCTTGGATGTGCACGTTAGCTTCAAGGCGGAAAAGCACAACACATTTGGAATATTGGATTTCGCCACGAAAGAGCCAGCAAAAAAAAGACAACGCTGAAGGAAATTCCTGTACAACGTGCTCTCAAAACAAAAGTGTTATTCTGGAATCGACCTACCCCCTTTATCTAATCTCCCCTGAATGTTATGGCGAAAGGGCGCAGAAGACTGCTCCCCCCCCTCCCCTACACACAAAAACATCTGTGGATGCGCTCAGTGACTGTTGATAAACTTCCATCTTATCAAGGAAATTGCCTGTAGTTAGCGTTCACTGACAAATTGAATGCACTCATCATACACACACAACTAATGTCTCAATATGTCCCATTGACTTCATGTGACTCCGCCTCTAATATGGCCCTCTACTGAAATGCCTGTCTTGTTTTTACATGTGCTTTTCTTGTGCAAAAGGGTTTTTTTAATATCTCAAACTGTATCCTTTCAATTATATATTATTGAAAGGATACAGAGGATACAAAGGATACAGATCTTTCCACAGAGACAAAGGCAGCGCTATTAGGTAACCGTCTGGAACCTGGGAAGCCAGGTAACTGGTGGGAATCCATAATGCTACACACACCGGACGCAGCAGATGCAGTAGAAGCAGCGAGTTTACATGCAAAGTCAATGGTTGAGGCGCGTCAAGGCGCAGCAAAAGGTCCCGCAGCGCATTTTGAGCAGCAGGCGCAGCGCGTCTGAGCAGCTGAAGCAGCGCGTCGGGAGCGTTTAAGCATCTGACGCGCGTGACGCGCCGCAAACGTGCTGCTGCTTGAGATGGAAAAATGGAACTTTTGCTGCTCGATGCGCCGCATCAACCAATCAGAGAAGCTGATCTGGGAGCTGGCGGGGAGACAGACACATCGCTGATGACACAGAGCGCCGTGATCGCTCCTCTGAAACAGTTTATTAACGCCTAAATTAACTTAAAATGCTGAAACCTGCCGACACAATATGTTTGCTTTTATTATCCTGGTGCCTGCAGTTTGGATTATTTTGATGAAAAACACCTACCAGCCACAGCAGTGAACCGCGAGGAGGCGACCCGGCCAGAGGCTGCTGTTAAATGGGATTCCTACTGACAGCGCACCGCTGGTATTTGGGGGTCTGAGCGGCTCCGACAGAAATAATATTGGAAGCCAGGATAGTAATCTGGATGAACTGACTGCAGTGATTAAGTTTTCAGGTCGACTTTCTCACTTAAAAACATATTAAAACTACTTTATTCCCACTGATCACAGCAAATATAGCTGCAAGGCAGAGAAAGGATAGTGAAGCTCCGTCCAACGCGCGTCAGACCCACTTTTGAACCACGTAGCCAGAGCAGCAAAGCTGCTTCAGCCGTGTGTCAGAACTAACTGGTACAAGCAGCAAAAATGAAGCAGCAGATTCCCCCGTACCGAATGTATGTGACGTATTGTGATGAACGGTTGTACTGAAACTGAAATTTTAATTACAATGTAAATTGTAGTTGACAATAAAGTTTTTATTGATTAATTGATTTTGATTGATTGATTGATTGATTGATTGATTGATTGATTGATTGATTGATTGATTGATTGATTGATTGATTGATTGATTGATTGATTGATTGATTGATAGATAGATAGATAACCAATCTTTTGGCTTAACCAACCAATGCAATTTGGCAGTGCTTTTACCCAATCTATATTTGTAAAAGGGCAAACCAATAAAAATTGGTAACATTAGCAAGCATTGTAGCAAATTTCAAAAGTTTAAGGTGGGTCTCGAGCCAACAATCTTAGAATAGGAAGTCATTGTCTTATAGCTGACGCCACTAGCAATGGTAACTCCAATCTAATAATAATGTTACAACTATAATCAGTGACTTGCTCAGGTTCTGATTATTGATAATTCTGATCATTATATTGTTTAATCTAACCAAAATAATTTAAATCTACCAGATTGGTTGTTTTTCTAACTAATCTATTCTTATAATATATACAAACTCTATCCAACTAAGCACAGCTCTCCTACAAACTCCGACACCTTGACTGAATACTGAGGCTGTTTAAATTAAGTTTGTGGATGAGCTAAACC